GATAGAATTATGGTAAACTCCAATATTTAGGTCGGCTATGGCACATTATTCATTCATTGGTATATGATAATATCTTGAATAACTTAAACATAACCAATAGAATTATGCTAAACTCCAATATTTGAGTGGACAATGGCACATTATTCATTCATTGGTATATGATAATATCTTGAATACCTTAAACATAACCCATAGAATTATGGTCAACACCAATATTTGGATGGGCAATGGCACATTAATCATTCATTGGTATATGATAATATCTTGAATACCTTAAACATAACCGATAGAATTATGGTAAACTCCAATATTTGGATGGGCAATGGCACATTATTCATTCATTGGTATATGATAATATCTTGAATACCTTAAACATAACCGATAGAATTATGGTAAACTCCAATATTGGAGGGGGTAATGGCACATTATTCATTCATTGGTATATGATTATATCTTGAATACCTTCGACATAACCGATAGAATTAAAGTAAATTCCAATATTTGGATGGTCAATGGCACATTATTCATTCATTGGTATATGATAATATCTTGAATACCTTAAACATAACCGATAGAATTATGGTAAACTCCAATATTTGGATGGGCAATGGCACATTATTCATTCATTGGTATATGATAATATCTTGAATACCTTAAACATAACCGATAGAATTATGGTAAATTCCAATATTAGGGTGGGTTATGGCACATTATTCATTCATTGGTATATGATAATATCTTGAATACCTTAAACATAACCGATAGAATTATGGTCAACTCCAATATTTGGATGGGCAATGGCACATTATTCATTCATTGGTATATGATAATATCTTGAATACCTTAAGCATAACCGATAGAATTATGGTAAACTCCTATATTTGGGTGGGCAATGGCACATTATTCATTCATTGGTATATGATAATATCTTGAATACCTTAAACATAACCGATAGAATTATGGTAAACTCCAATATTTGGGTGGGCAATGGCACATTATTCATTCATTGGTATATGATAATATCTAGAATACCTTAAACATTACCGATAGAATTATGGTAAATTCCAATATTTGGGTGGGCAATGGCACATTATTCATTCAGTGGTATATGATAATATCTTGAATACCTTAAACATAACCGATAGAATTATGGTAAACTCCAATATTTGGG